TAACTCAAGAAACCGATGAGACAAATGAAAAGTTTAAAAGATTCTGTAATCAAACACCGAACAAACCAAGTGATTTTAGTTCTCCGGTTGAAGAACCATTCGTAACGCACGAATGTAAGAACCGATAAATTCGAGCAAAGTCAACCACTTCTTTGACCGATGACCCAGGGTGCTTATCCGAGTCGGTTACAGGCAGAAGACGTCTAACCGTTTTCGATGCTGGACGACAACTCACTTCATGCCACAGAAAATTCTTAACTCACGACGTTCATTGCAAATAAACATTTCATTGTGATTAGTCAGTAATCCATCAATAATATCCATGAAATAATCAAAAATTCATATCATTTAAAAGAAATGAGAATTTTTTGAAAACTTTGGGAGATCTTCATTTATAATAAATATTCGTCTAAACCAACCGAATGAATTCTATTTGCAAAATCTAAGCAATAACAAGGGAGAACAACGTTCTTTACAAGTCGTAACTCATTTTCGTAACAAATCTTAACTTTCCGACAAACTAGTTCACCATTAAAACGAAGCAAAGAAAGAACATACACTCAATGCTTGCTTCGTGCAATCGTGAATTTTTCGTTTGCGTGATTGAATCTGTTGAAGAGCTTNCATACACTCAATGCTTGCTTCGTGCAATCGTGAATTTTTCGTTTGCGTGATTGAATCTGTTGAAGAGCTTCTGACCAAGAGGTTACCTTAAGCAGGCACCATCGAATTTATTGAACATATGAGTGTGATCATTGAACATATACAGTACAATCGTTAAACAGGAATGTCATTAATAAGAATGAACAACCAGTTTCGACACTGCATAATTTTTAAGATCACTGTTATTATCATAATTATGTTCATTTAAAGTTAATCAATTCCTGGGTATTGTTCGTACACAAAATGGTATCTGAATCAATTGCTAGGAATTTAACGACACGATAATAGTTAAGAGGTGCTGATCGTTACTTCATGTTCAAATGCAATGTCAGCAAGTTTGAACGTCTTGCTTGACGACTGACTGCACCATGCAATACAATTTAAAAACTAGCATTACAAGGGATTTCTGATGGGTGCAAGAGATGTGTATCGTTCTACGAATACATGAACTGAGATGCGTATGCGTGTCGAATGCATAAACTAATGAGCACTCAACAGTGTGAACGAACGAAACATCGTTTGAAAGAATGAATTAAACGAATCTGAAACTACACTAACCTCAGATGACGGGCTAGACAATGGTTGAATGCTCGAATTGTCGTGCAACCAAACTCGCTCTTGTGCCACTCTATGATCTTGCCATTGATTGTCGATCCTTTCACGAACCAATTTCACCATTTGATCAATTTCTGTTGCTGAACGTCCCGGTATACGCGCAGCACCATAAGCCAACGC